TGTTAGAATGTGAAATCTACAAAATAATGATGAAAATTAAAGAACAAGTAAAAGAAAAAAAGAAAAATGAGAAGATAAAAGAAGAAAAAAGGAATTTAAAATTTTTTTTAAATAACACAATTGTTTAAATAGTTACTATATCATTATTTCATCATTTATTTGGAACAGAATATGTTAACGCAACCATATAGTTACAATTTACAGAGTTTGGTATCAATTTGGGACAAAATTGAAGTTCGATGAGAAAAGTGGGAAAATGGTATAAAGTTAGTGACTATCCATGAAATTTACTCACTATCGTAATGATGCTTCAGTTTGCATCAGCAGTGCCCAACCATACCTTTGTAAGCCCACGAAGATCAATTGCTGGGCTTTCTGCCGTACTGATCTGTAGGTGCACTGCAATCTTTTCGAGAAGTAGACTGTGAGGTCTCTCCAAGTTAGTTCTTTTGCAGGAACTTAACCCTTCTCGTTTATAGTTGTTTTCTTTTATTACTCCTTCACACCATTCTTCAATTAGTTCCTTGAGATAAATATCATTGGATTTGTACCTGCAACGGATACCCTGTTAAAGACTGAATCTAAACGTTTGTGTAGGCCATTAGCAACCATTAAGTCTGCATAATGATTCCTCAAAAGCAAGCACCACAGAATGATGATATTGTCTATGAAGCATAAAAGACTTTTCAAGGCAATTTGCAATTTACACATAATGATAATGCTAACATACCCTGCTTTCCGCATATCCTGATATATAGCTAGGCACTGCTGTACTTCATGCAAGGAACCATATCTGCTACGAGCTCTTAAAAGTGTATTATATGTCACCTGTAAAAACAAAGTTCAAGGTTTATTTGCTGAATGTACCAGGACAGTTACTAATAATCAAAAGTGCCTGCTTCCATGTTTCAGTATTGAGGGTCATAGAAGAATAATTTTATTTGTGATAGGAAACACAAAAGAAGAATTGTAGCATTTTAGCAAAATCTTCTATGAGACAGCCTTTATTACAGTGCCATACAAGGTGAACTCATATGTTGACATTACATCACCAAATTAACACTTAGACATGCTTTTAATGTTCTTTAATTTGTAAGACTGAAGAACAGAAAGGCATCATTTCAGATCACTCACCAAATTAGGTTGTACACGATATCTCTTCATTTCTTCAAATAATGAAAAGGCTAAATTCAGATTTTTGCTTCCGACACAAACCTATGATACAAAATAGCATGACATGTCAACATCCAACACCAATCAATTTGAGATGGTGTGAGAGCATAACACAATTGTCAGTGTCTAGAAAAGCAATTACAGAACAACCAAGTTTATTACAAAAGCTTTGCACCTTGATTGCTGTTGTATATGCAACAACATCAGGTTTAATTCCAGTCAAATGCATATTTTTCAAGATCTGCACTGAAAGGAAAACATAGTTGTCAGAGAATGTAAGTTATTGCATAGAGCTTTTGCCAACAAAGAATAGTGGATTGGAGGCCAATTTTAGGAAGACAAAAGGCAAAACACAGCTGCCTGGCTGGTGTATATCAGGTGTAGTTATTGCCAATATATTGATTACCAAGTAAAATTTGAGTCACTTTGAGAACATAATGCAATTTAAGCGAAAGGGATTTCAGAAAACCAATACTCAGGTCCTCATGGCCTTACAAACTACAGGTGTTCTCTTTCTCTGTTTCCTCCTTTCTATTTCCTTCAAAAACTTGTAGACATCTATGCAACCATCAATTGTTTCCTGAGTTCTTGATTTAGTAGAGTGAAATGATTTAATCTTTTAGGCCTGGCACTTTCATATTTTAAAATTAAACAAGTACTGCATTAGCCTGTATTTTGGCAGTGGGCATGAAATAAGAGGAAAACAGAGTCAGGCAACATAGCCATTAATGCTATTTCATGACCAATAATGTGCCACACCAATCTGTGAATAAACATGCGATAACAACCTATTGTCTGGATCCTAAAAGATAGCACCTAAAACAATAATGTACCAATGTTTGAGAAACAAGATAAAATGGAAGGCAAAATAAGATAAATTCTTTTATGAAAGGACATCTAACCTGTATGGCACCTTCTACATTGCCTGAACCTCCACATATATCGATCAAAATTGACCAGCTTACATGATTAGGTGAAAGGCCAACAGACTTCATCTCATCCATTAAAGCTTTTGCACGATAGTAGTCAGTACAACAGGCCTTCATTAAAATATTATATGTTGCTGTAGTAGGTGTGAAAGAAAACTTCTTGGCAAAACTTAAATGATGTGAATTAGATAGTGCAGTCGAAGTAGAAGTTTTGTTGTTTAGTTGCTTTGAAATTAACACACTATCTATACTGCCAGTATAACCCTCCTGGCCTCCTGTCCAGCAGTGGAAAAGGCGAAAAGCCCTGTCATACTGGCTAGCCTCAACACAAGCATGTAGAAGAATGTTGCAACATTGTGAATTAGGTTCACATCCAGTGAGAATCATCTCTTCAAATAATTGAAATGCCTCCTCAACTAGGCCTGCATTGGCACAGGTACTGATCAATGATGACCATGTAACTGTATTAGGGGTAACGCCAGCTGATACCATATCTTCTTTAATTTTCAGTGCCATTCGCCACAACCTTGCATCTGCAAAGACCTAAAATTTGTACACATACATATTATTAAGAGAAGGATATATCACAAAAGGTTCATTGAACAGGTTATAGGAATTGGAATTGTTTTTGGGACAGTGCAGCAACAAATACCTTTATGATCGTGCAGTAAGTAAAGACATCCAACTTCAACACTCCTGTTGACTCCAGATGCTTTACTTCATTGTAAATATCTTGGGCCAAATCAACTCTGTGAGCAAGACAGCACGCCTTTAAAAGGATGTTATAAGATGCCATATCTGCTGTGATACCAAGATTCTGAACAAAGAAACACATTTTAATATATTATCTTGCTAATGTGCATGTAGCATGAATCTTCATGTTTGTAGTGATATGGAATGTTTCACTAGGGAAAGTTTATCTCCACTACAAGCTTGACACTAGATCATCAGACAGAGATTAACCATTTTAGACATCCACACTTTCCATTAAAAATTACATTTATATTATATCTTCTATAAATAAATGAAATGAGAAACATTCAAGTCAAGCATCAGATTATTGAGAAAATAGCCAGGCAATTACTGAAAGTTAGAAATCTAGACTACCCATCTGAGAGTGTACTTAGAGAGCTTAGTTCTGTTCAGAAAAAAAGAAATAAAGGAAAAATAAATAAAATAAACATGAAAAAGAGAAAGATTCTTCAATGATATTAAGTTCCATAGAAGAAAAGACAGGGAGTTGGGCATACTTGCATGTCCTTGTAAACATCTAATGTGTATCCCAGATCATGAGAGTTGACATTCATGAGACTGTTAAAAACATATATATTTGGAGTGACCCTTTGATTGACCAAGTCCTGCAGCAAAATTCATACAAAAAGTAAGCCCAAATCTCATTGGAAGAATAAAATTTAGGAATGCCACAAAAAAAGGGATTTTTTACCATGTAAAGGCATTCAAATCTGAAGACATGATAATCAGCTGACCATACTTCATGTGTATTTTAATTAAGCCAGTTACCATCACATTAGCAGCAATATGGGTGAGGGGAGTGGAGGAAAGAATCTTTATGATGTCCATAAGTAGACGCAACAACCAAATGAAATATTTACAAGAAAATTTCATTGAATTTGAGAAGGCGGGTGAGCAAATACCTCGTAAATGTTTCTAGATTTCAGGTAGTCACCACAAAGACCACAAGCATCAATTATTGCACGATATAGATACATATTAGGACCACTCAAGTTCTTCTTGGACGCTTCATATGCTGTCAATGCAGATGCCAAATCCCTCTTCTTTCCAAATTCACTTATAAGGCTACAGAATAATATTTTGGCATGTGGCAGCTGGCAAGCATACCTTCAATGCAAACATTCCAAGGATTAGCACCAGCCAAATCAAAAAAGAAGTGTTCATCATTTGAAATTATTGAAGCTACACTCATGAAATCTTTTAGGAACTTTGATGGTAAAATTAAGACCTATATGTAACAAACAAAAGGAAAGCAAAAGCTCATACCTTACGGCCAAATTTGGGTTTCTTTTATCAACACAGACTTTTATAATGTAAGATGGATCCACTAGTTCCTTGATTGTAAATTGAAAACCTGAACCAAGATAACGTCTGTCAAGCAATGCAAGGAACGTCTATGAACAGAGAAACCACTAACCATACACACCTAAAATCTTCCAAGGATCAGAAACTCATGCAGTAACACCTAGGGTACTCAACTTCAATTCACATAGCAATTGATTCAGTTCCATGAAGTAATGAAATAACAAAACTTGCAAAAAACTATAGTATTAAGTCGTGTAGCTGCCTGCTGGTGAGAGTCTAATAGGATGCCCGGTTGCAAAATTCTTTATGTAAGGGCTATTCCACAAAGATTAAGGTATACCTTCCTTACTTGCTTTTCCTTCCAGAAGTAAAAACTGCGATTTGATATAAAACTGAATGGAGTAATATTTTTAAATAAATTAAAAATTAAAACTGTAATTTTTTTCGGAGAATAAAATACAAAGATTTTAGCTATATATTATATTGAGAAAAACTATTTATCTTAAAATCAACACTGTATTTAATCGTTTGTTCGATTTTAATGATTATGATTTTGGTTTTGGCTAGTTATATGAATAAAAGTAGCAAAAGCACATTGGGTACCTCTTAAAGCCTCCAACAAATCAACAGCTTGCTCCACTTCACCAGAACCCACAATCCTTTGAACCTCCCTTTTCATCGAATCCAAACCAAACCCATCAACCAACTTCGAAGGAGCAATCCCAAGCTTCTCAACTTTCTTCAGCACCTCGACAACACTTTTAACCTTTCCTTCTTGAACATTCAAAGCAACCCCTTTGGAAACAAGCTCAACACCCAACATTGAAACAACACGCGGAGCATTAACTCCCGAAGCAACGAGCATCTCCACTATCATTGCAAAGTCCTCGAGACGGCCATCCTCCGCCAACTTCGAAGCGAGGTCGGCGTAGTACTTGAGCGGGGAGCTGCGGCGGGAAGTGGGGTCCCATCGTACGGAGGAGCTGGAGAGGAGAGGGTAAGGGTGTTGATGAGAATGGACGGTGGGGATGGAAGGAGAAAGCCTGTGAAGGGAGGAATTGGGTTTTTTGGGTTTTGAAGAATGGTGGTGGTGATGGAGGTTTGCTGGAGGAGTAGAAATGGAGGAACCGCCAAGGATGATGACAAAGTCTTTCATTCTTGGCTAAGGAAGTGAGTGTTTGGTTGTGCTGTGGGGGATTGTCCGCTGTTCTTCCATGGCTTTTTTTTTTTTTTTTGTATGATGTTGCTTGTGGATTGAATTTGAAAGGTAGGTATTGTCGGCTGTTATGCAAGTTTGTCCGCAATTGTTTCTCCTTCTTCTGTATATAGGGCGCAGGGAGGAAGAAGCAAATTTTGTCAAAGAAAATATCAATAATACTAAAAAAATTATTAAAATTTGAGATAATGTTGAAATAAATCTCTAAGCTAAACAAAATTTAAATAAATATTTACACTTTTATTATATTCGATCAAATTTTTATAATTTTATTTTGAGTTAAATAGATTTTTATCATGATTAATAATTAATTAATTATTATTAATCAAAATATCATTTAATATTTTATATCTACATGATATTGACATAGTTTTGATATAAAAAGTAAAAATTATTATATAATTATATTATTATATCAAATTAACATATCATCGTTATCAATTATGATATATTAACATATTATATCATCATTAATTATAATAGATTAACATACCATTTTAATATCATGTGACTTAAAATGATAAATGATATTTTGATTAAATTAATTATTAATTATAAAAAGTTATTTACTTCAAAATAAAAAATATAATAATTTATTTAATTTAAAATAAAAATCTAAAAGCTTGATTGAACTCAATAAATCTGTAAAAATTTATTTAAATTTTTTAAAAATATTTTAAGAGTTCTTTTGGATATTATGCCATAAAATTTTAACATTTCTTTTCCCTTTTAAAGTAAAAACAATATTAATTTTTTGGGATTTGCACCTTTTTTTTTCAAATTATCTATGTAGATAGTAATAGGGGTAATAGTTAACATAAATATTTTAAATAAATTTTTATTATTTTATTATATATAATCAAAGATTTTGTTTTTCTTTTAAACTAAATGAAATCTCATTATTAACATATTACTCAAAATATGACTTATTATTTTTTATATTTCGTGTTACCATTAATGTGGTATATTATTAATGAATGATGATATAATATGTTAATATGATATGATATGATATGATTATGTAATATTTTTTATTTTTTATATTAACATTATGTTATATGGACATAAAATGATAAAAACAAAGAAATTTTTACTTAATCAATGTTTAATTTCTAGAGCTTATTTAATTTCAAATAAAAGTATAAAGTTTGATTGAATGTAATAATAAAATAAAATTTTAATTATATTTTTAAAAATAATTAAATAACTTTATTAAATTAAAAAATATTAAATCTACCTAATTTGGCTTGTAAATTTAAAAATTCATCCATAACAATATAAAATTATAAATTTAACCAATGAAAAATGAACTTAAAAGAAGTTCAATGATATAACAGTAATAATTATAAATAAATTAGAAAAAAGATACAATATCGATTTAATTCCGTTTGTGAAATTCCTTAATGTTATAAGATCGTAGATAGTAAATTGTGCATGTTGTTAGCATCATTCTATGGTAGCAAACTTATATTTGATCAGTCAGTCCATCCTGCAAGACTAAAACTAAACGAGGCTTAATAAAAGAACGATGGTTCTTTAGAGTTAGAAGCAAAGAAAACCTGTGGACAACAACGCGAATCCCGCAAATACCCCAGAAACCTGCCACGTCAACAAACACCAGGGCTACTATCGACAATTCAGCAACGCAGCCGCAGCTTCTCGAGCCCGTCTTGAACTGAAAGCCAAGCCACTCCACGCCCGAACGCCAGCTCCGTCCCCCTGCCTACACTCTCTTCCCCCAAATCCGCCAACTCGATTATAATTACAAAAACGCTAAAAAAACATAAATCAATTGTCAGAAAAAATTCGGATGAATCAGATTTTTTGAAAATTTTTGATTCGATTGATTAAAGGAAAAAAGGAGAAGCTTTTTGTGGTTTTTGATGCTGATAAGAGATGCCGCCGAAGCAACCCTCAAAAGCAGAGTTAGCGAAGAAGCAGAAGATCGTAGAGGACAAGACCTTCGGTCTCAAAAACAAGAATAAAAGCAAAAATGTCCAAAAGTACGTCCAAAATCTTAAGCAATCCGTTCAACCCAAACCCGACGCGAGTAAAGTAGCTCAAAAGGTTCGGATCCTCTCCCGATTACTCCTTTTCTTTATACCTCTTAATTTATAGATTTAAAAATCAAAAAATAGAATTTTTTATGATTTCTTTTTGATTCCCTTTTTATTGTGTTGTTTAGGAGTTTAAGACTTTCAGTGGATGAAAGGAAAGAAATTAGAATCGGGATAGATTTTTTAAGTTTTTTCTCAGCTTGGGTTGGTATGAATTAGTTTGGTTTGCATAGAAAAGTGAAGAATTTTTATTGTCAGTCAAAATGCTTAGTTCTTTTTTGATGTTTAATTAGTTAAGTTGATTGGTAATTCTGGTTCTTTAGGAAGTGAAAGTTTCAAGGAAGATAATATCAAATGGTAAAAAAACAGATTATTTTTTCTCTAGTAAACAAGCTTAGACATCAATTTTTTTTTTAACTAACAGAAAAAGAAAGAGGAAGAGAAGGCCAAAGATAAGGAGCTGAATGACTTGTTCAAGATTGCTGTTACTCAGCCCAAAGTGCCTGTTGGTAATTGTCCTGTCTTTTCCTCTCTGATTTCATGATGATTATCACTGGCTTAAGGTTTTGGATGTTGGTTTTTTTGTTTATAATATGTATTTATATTGGCTAGTGGGAATTAAAAGTTTAGAACTAATAATTGGGTGCTTGAGCAGGTGTTGATCCCAAGTCGATACTATGTGAATTCTATAAAGTGGGACAGTGTGCCAAAGGTTTTAAATGTAAGTTCTCACATGACCTGAATGTTCAGAGGAAAGGCGAGAAGATTGACATTTACAGTGATAAGCGCGACCAAGGTTAATTCCATATGAAATTTTATGTTGTTTGACTGTTATTACTTATGCAGTATGATATGTATATCGTTGTACTGATGTTTATGTGTTTGGTGTTTCTTTCTTTAAGAAACAATGGAGGACTGGGATCAAGAAACTTTGGAGAAGGTTGTGGAGTCAAAGACAAAGGAATATAATCAGAATAAGCCTACTGATATTGTATGCTTTTGCTGTTGTTCCTGTATAAATTTGTTGATTATTTCAAAATGTATATTCTGCTGTACTCTATATTTGTTAAATGGCACATGTTTGCTCATTTATGTGTGAAAGTCATGCCTTTGAACTCTGGTGGAAATTTCTTCTAGTATGGACAATGGCAAATGGAAAGCTAGCATGAGATGTATCTTGTTACATTCTGAAGCATTTGCTTGTCAATGCCTAATATGAAATTCACTTAATGTGCAAATTATTAATTAGATATGCAGAGGATAGAGAGAGAGAGGTAAAACTAGATGGCTTTGAGGTTTAAGTTGGTGTAAATTGTAGGGTTTAGCTGTGTGACTTGAGATATTTGTTTCTCATCTTCTGCCGCTTTTCCTAACTTTGAATGACTATGATTGGTACTGATTGGATGTATGTGCAGGTTTGTAAATATTTCTTGGAAGCAGTAGAGAAGAAACAATATGGCTGGTTTTGGGAATGCCCAAATGGTGGTAAAGATTGTCACTACAGGCATGCTCTTCCCCCTGGATATGTTCTAAAGTCTCAGATGAAGGCTCTGATTGAGGAAGAGCAAGAAAAAACACCAATTGAGGATGAAATTGAGAATCAGGTAATTATTAGATTTGCTGGAATCAACCTGCTATGCTCTAATCAGCATAGTTTGTGACTTTCTTTTCATTATATTTAACTTAACAAACTAAAATATGTCTTCTCCTGTAGCGTGCTAAATTAAAGACTTCAACTCCTATGACTCCTGAGTTATTTATGGAATGGAAGAAGAAAAAGATAGCAGAAAGAGATGAAAGTTTGGCCGCACAGAAGGCAGAAAGGGCTAAGAGTGACCGCATGAGGTATGCCCTGTGTGGCCCATCTGCTTTTACACATGTTTGTTAATAGAGTGAGTGTATTTGCATGTGTCTTATTTTCCTGGGTGCCTTTTGCTAAATTTGTTGTTCTTTGTGCTTTATTGCAGTGGCCGTGAACTGTTTATGTTAGATGCTAGTTTATTCGTGGATGATGCTGAGGCATATGAGAAATACCAAAGAGAGGAAGAATCTGATGTTCGCGGAAATAAGGTACTCTTTTGCTTGGCATCTTCTATATTTTCCTTGTAGCTCCTGTGAGCTTCATGAATCACTCTGGGGAATCAGAGGTTGAACTGCTGGTAATACATATTTAGGAAGCTTCCGTATGCTGATGGAAGTGGCAAATAGAGCATTGATTTTCTAGGTTTCTTTAAGAGGAAAATATATTTACTAGTCACAGTACTAGTAATTAAAGTTTTTAGTTTCCAAATTTTAAGGAACATAAATTATTGTTTCTTGCTTTCATAGGGAAAATGTGACAATTTCTGCCACAATGCTACCTCCGCCACTGCTAATTTACTGGTGTTGGCACCACCTAGCGTTTATCATTTTCCACTGAATCATGCCATCATGGCACATGTTTTTGACGGTGAAACTAATATAAAGTTAACATGTGAGCTTGGTAACAGGAAGTTTGAATAGACACTGAAGTAAAATGTATTTTGAAATATACCTATCTTGAAACAGCCTAGAGCTGCCCCTGCTCCTGGGGATCTTTGTGGTTCCTTACCTTGCCCTATCTTGATCCTAAGAGGGAGAGGGTTTGAAAAAAGCACCTCCCTGGTTATGGTGCTTCTAAATTGTCATATCTAACAGGTATTCAACTGGGTTTAATATGATCTCCGAAGAAAAGTTGTGGCCCTTCTTTGTAGTACCTGATATTATGGCCAAACTTCGGAAATATGTTTGGTAGGTGCTGAACAGTGGATTTAATCATGGAATGAAATTGGAACACATGCAAAGAATTTAAACTATTGACAGACCAATATTCCATGGGCATACTATGAGATGGACTAATTGTTGCTGAATATTTCTTGTTTTGCACATACAACATCAGGCCAATCCTGATTCAGCTGCTGATGAACCAAGTACCTCAGCGACATCTGCTGCTGATGCTGAAGCTCTTCCAGATGACGATGATGATGATGATGAATTGGACATGGATGAACTAAACGAACTAGAAGCTAGCTTGGCAAAAACATCAATCCAAATTCAGGAGCCTAACGCATAAGCTTAGTTTTTAGAGGCGCAGAGTCTTCAGTCCACATGCGTTTTAAAAGTGTTGACTCTATGATCCTGCTGCAAATTACTTGTCATCACGATTTCACCTGTAGCTTGAGACTGCTGAGCTTCCCGTTATCCTGGCTGAGTGGCAGCTGTCATTATAATTTTCAAATTTAAGGTTCACCTATAAGCTAGTGGTACATGAGCATATGGTGAAATTGCAAATTGTATCGCATTCCAGAATGCTGGGTTTCTCTCAATCTTTGTTGGAAAGAGGATCATGAATATGGTTGTGGTTTTCTTATTCTTTTAGGCTTTGAAGCACACAAGGACGATTCTCTGTTGATGAATAAGGTGTATTATTTGAACACAATTTACAGCAATCTCTAATGTATTATCAATTTCATACTGTCATTGTCTGATCACAAATGCATGCATTTGCTTTCCTTCGGGAAAAGATTGAAGCTGATGAATCGCAGTTAAATTTCCACTGCTAAAAAAAAGCTGAATGAGTCATGACCTGGGCTGCGCTCGGCAGAAGCTTGTTCTCAAGTGCTATGTGCCTGACATTGGTCTGCCCCTCAGCCTCTATTTGTAAACCATTCTATAGTACTATTGGTTCTTTACCCTGCCGACGATGTCTTGAGTTACTTGTGTTCTCATGGATGAAACCCATCAGCTAAAATGTGTTATACCAACATCATCTGTTAGTCTTCAGGACTGAATTCAAGGTCCTGCACTAGCCTAGAAAAAGTTGGAAACAAACAAGAATGTGGATCAGTACAGCCAATAAAGCTTACCCGACAAAAATGATGACCAAAAACATCCACTGATCCAAAGGCCGTTTCCATGGTGGGGATGAGAAACTGTTGAGAAAAGATCCGAGTTCCACTTCCATTAAGAGGAACCAACAGACAATGTTCACTATTCGATGTTTTCAACGAGCCAAACATTTGTTGTCATCATGTCAACTACTGGGTCGGATCCGTAGCTTCAAAAGTCCTCGAGGTTGTGCCACTACCCAACACAGCAAAATATTATTATCCTTTCAAAGTGCTTTTGTTGCACGAGCGGGTCTAACGTCATCCGTTCATACGAAAGCCCAATTGGAGGGCCCGAAGGATTCTTCGCCGAAACTTCTTCTTCTGCTATCCTTTACAAGAAACACTGTTATAGCTGCCCAGCTGAATGTTTCATTCAATGTCTTTGTAATTTGGAATACAGTAATTAGCTTTTCTAAAGTCAAAAAGATTAATTTACGGATTAAACGGATTCATTATTGCAATACAAAGCATTACCCAAAAAATTATATCTTTAATGCATATATATATATATATATTATATAGTAAGGATTTTGCTAACCATGCAATAATGACAACAGTAGTGTATGTAGAAAAATAATAATTTAGTTGGGTCGTATATTATATTATATTTTAAAGAAACTTTTGCATTAAAGTCAAAGGTTTTAAATATAAAAAAAATGAGCACTTAAGTTCATTAATTCAATAATAAATTATCATGATAACACAATATCTCGAACATTATCTCAATGATATAATCTTTCACAAAGTTTTTTAGTCAAATCGTACATGGTTTTTTTTTTCTATAAGACATATATCATTTTGGTTATTAATCATTATGTAAAATAAAATAAAATTTTTATTTGGATACAAGAATAAACAACTATTACTTTGGATTAGTAAGAATTAAAATTAATCTTTGTAAATAATTAAATACACGACTTTAATCTTTATATGGAATAATGGTATTCGAATAAATTTGTGATTTTACATTTTAAAATTGAATATATTTATTAACATATGATCGGATTTATAACACAAATATAAAAGTTTTTTTATGATTTTTTTTAAAGCTACATACATGCTGGTTGTGACGATCAAATTGAATAAAAAATATACCTTTTTAATCTCTCACTTTAGATTTTTATTTAACTTGAGTGAGATTATTTGTATTATAATACGTACAGATAAAATTAATTTTTCTAACTATACCCTTAAATAACAATTACTATGATGATCTTTAATATATTAAAAAAATATTACTTAATATAATAACCTTAAAAGCTGACTTGCAGTAATGGTTAACAAAACACTTCGAGTGATTAGCATTAATCTTCATGTCTTCTATATATCTTAAATAGAAACAGGAAAACGTTAAGGTCAAACTCTCTAAAATATGTATTGAAGGTAAAGCAAATCAACTTGGACATACCTGAATTTCAAAGGGATTCCAGAAGGGCGGAAGGGTTAGGACTGCGAAGGGCAAGTTTGTTTGAGGGTTCAAAATTTCAACGACACCGCCGTGTAGGTGAAGAAGTCATTGGGGACATGATTACGGATTAAAGCCTGATTTCCAAGGAATGAACAGTGGGGGAGATTTTAGGGTAGAATTGGTCAAAGGACACAATCAAGATTTGCCGTGTCAAGGGCGAAGAAAGGGTTGTCCACCTCTGCGGTGACAAATGCTGTTCATGGGGTTTTAAATATCTTGAAAATCTATATGATTCATGAACATTGTTGAGCTTTTCAAAAGAACTCCCCCACTGCTTTTTCTCTGTTCTTTTGTCTTTGTAGAGATTTGTTCTTACTAAGTAAGTGTTACAACAAATAATTGAAATGATTAGAGATGGTGAAGAGAAAGATTAAAACAGTATTTGTCTTATTAATTGTTTTATACTTGTTCTCGTTTTATAAAATAAATAATTTCCAAGTTTTAAAGTAATCTTTTAAAGAAAAAGAACTTTTAATTAAGCAAATTCTAGATACCAAGGCTAGTCAAAGAAAAAATTTTCCTTCTTTCTTTGTGTTTGTGCTAAAGGAAGCATAAAACTTTTGCAAAGAAAAGAAAAGACCAATTCTTTTTATTTTCTTTTGGCATCATAATCTCCAACCAATTTAGGTCTAATTATGGGTTAATATGAGGTTAAGATATGGGTAAGATGTTTCCTTAAACAGAAGGGGTTGCTTTGCAAGGCACAAATGGAAGAAAGCACAAAGGTAACAAAAGTGTTTCTTCTTGAGTGGCAAAGAGGCACCCTGTTTGATTCATATACCTGGCAAGAAATCACCTTGGCCAACAAAAATTCTACTCTTTTATCTTTAGCAAAAGTTTTCTCCCAGAAACACTCTTACCTTAAAAGTACTTACAAAAGCACACAAGGCAGTTCAGTAAAAAAACTTATGTTGATAAGTATGCGTTTTTTAAGCAAAAGAATTTTGGCAGTTTACATACGACTTTGCCTTGCTTTTTGGTGCAATCGCACTTTGATTCCTGTCCCACATGCTCCCCCAGTCTCACTGAAATTTTTTATACACAGAATTGGAAGGGAAAAAAAAGGAAAAACAGAGCACCAATTATTTGGGACCTGTTGTCCGTACAGATAGGAAAGCTTATGTTTCGTACATGGCACTGGTCTTGAGGCTCTTACTTTCATGCAACAGAAATAGAGATAAGTGTTGATTTTGTATTTTATAGGCTGGTACTAAAGTAGAGGATTCATCTTAAGAGGCCTGGTCCTTTTAGAATTAGCTGAAGGATAGAGCCATTCATAAGACATGCAATTTGGAAACTTACAGCACAGAATGAAAAATGCTAGTAGTTCTGAATTTAAAACCTTTGCTGCCAGGTTTTGTCTTAGGGAGAGAAAGAGAGTACAGAAATAAGAAAAGGGGGGCAGAGGAGGGGAATTGGGTCGTGGATAATCGAAAGAAAGATACATTAGAATTCTCACGGAGAGCACTGCTCTAGTACCAGGCAACAACTTTCAGGGAATAATGTAGAAAAGGGTGAAGCAACATTAAACCAACACATTTCCAGGCAATGCTAAAGATGACAATTGCTGGGAACTTCTCATTTTCTGTACAGATCACCCTGATTATTTGGTAGTTGGAAGCTGCATTTCCTCTGATGTCACCTTCTTCTTTCTTTGCAGCGCTCTTCCTGCTTTTGACGCTACTCTCAACACAGACTTGATTATAATTGATATCATCCTAACCTTGATCTGGCCTCTCTTTGGAGGTACCCTTGTCTTCTTTAGCCCACCTTGTGCTTTTGCCATAGCCATTGATGCCCAGTTAAAAACTTTAACAGGATCTTTCAAAAAAACGAAAAAACTTTAACAGGTTTCAGATGAAAGAAGGCAAGCTCGGAAAGAAAATACTTTGTCAGTATAACTGAAAACTACAAAAAACATACAGCAGGAGGCTTCACAAAACGGTATGGCAGATTCCGAGTGAAAATTGAGAGAGTCATTGTACTTTATATACTCGGGGCCATTAGCTTGTCTCTCACTTTTCCTTATGTTTTTTCTTTTTCATTTTTTTTAATCCTGAAAAAGGGGTTGACTGGTGGGGAATGACTTAGCTTTTCTTACCTGGTTCTCAAGATTTTAACTCTGGAGTCGAATTTCCTTCTAACTTTTTGGCTGCCGAAACACAAAACAGACTGGATGACAATTTCCGAATGGGTATGCTTCTTTTCTTTCTCTTCATGTTTAATTTGAAACTTTCAAACAATTCAGATGTTAGAAAATATCTTTTTCTCAGGAGACTCAAAGATTCAGTCAATGAGCAAACCTGGAGTCAATCTGAATAATCGTATTCCATATTGAAAGATAAATCTGCAAGAAACGTATTGTCCTTTTGTTCCCCTAATTTTGGTCTTTGAGAAAATCAAGCTAGCATGATTACTTGAACCATGGGTTTCAGGACTCATAATTTGAGTTGATCTTATCAATTATGAAGACTTCAACACATTCATGTGTAGAATTACTGGCAAGGGAATTTCAGTTGTCTTTCAGCTTGAGGATCCCTTCAAAATTGAGGTGAATAAAAGAGAAAGGAAGAGATGTGAAAGTCGTGGTACAAGACGAGGTAAAAAAATTAGATGGGTTTTGAAAGGAAAGTCCAAGTCCACGTTCACCATGCAAGCTCAAAACTCCAATGTTCCTATGCTATTATTCCAGGTCATTCCTGTCTACCCATGAAAATGACTTATGAAATTACCTGTCTTAAGCATTCCGGACAGGAATACAAGGTGTCGTTCAAAGGTGAAGGAAAGATGAATTGTGGAAGCAGAATAGGATCAAAACGGTTATTTTTTTTTCCGGGTTAAGTTCCACTTACTCGAGGGGGCGGAAAACACATGGAAAGACCAAAAGGATCACATGCCAATTTGCTGATGGTTGCTTGAATTTTCTTGCACTCCTTCTCAGTTCTATCTCAGACATAATCATCAGGAGTGTAAGACTCATGCTAACCAATTGCCTAACATGGGTGCTTCTCCGGCCCCCGGATGCCTCCCATATCATTTCTTCAGCGTCTCGGGCAACTGTTGTTTGTCCACTTATGTAGGTGTAGCTGCTAGTCCAGATCGCAGATTGTGACTGTTAATGGACAGGATTAATGTTTGGTATCAACAGTCAAAGACCTAATTCCATGTACAACGTAAGATTAAAGAAAATGCAGGGGAATTGTGTTGTTACTAAGGACAGATTGGATCAAATTTGAAAACATTGTTATCTTCCTCTGTACATCAATGAAAGAAGGCATGCTTCAAAAGATATTCTCCTTAACTCATTCATGCAGTGTACAGTATTTCACAACTTCCAGAAAACTAGAAGAAAGCACGTGGAGAACCTTCTGTAACATTACTTTCTTCCCCATGTCATAAAGAACGCAGGATAGCTGCAACCATTCATTGATCACTAAGATCTTTTAAGACTTTAACCTCTCCAAACAAATTTTCTATTCACCATCAGCTCAGATGCTCTTAATGTTCTTTAATGCCGAAACAACCCTCATAAGACCCACAAACTATACCAAAGGACTTATTTAGCATGAATCTGCATCGTAAAACTCCTCTAAACACATAATCATGGGTATGGAAGTTTTACTAAGCTTACTCAAAATGGAAAAATGAAAAAAATAAAAAAGAGAAAAGAAAGAAAGATGCTTATGGGCAACGAAAATAGGCTTTAAAAAACCAGTATCTAGATTTACATACAAGTTGGGGTCTACAAATCTCTCCCCTTTATACTCATTTCATTCAGACAATAATCCTTTTACAGAAAATGAACTGCTTTTTCCTTAGGGAAAATTAGATCACTTAACTGGTGCAAGAATGGTATATAGCAAAAGGAATGCGACTATTATAGTGGCCCCTACTAAAGTAAAGCCTGGACTGGTCCATAACGTGAGGTTTGACCTCTCTGTTCTCTTGATGGGATCAACCTCCTCAGACAAAGGATAGTTTGATTGTCTAGGATTCCAGGTAACATACTTGTCAGGAGAGAACCGTGAGAAGAGGGACTTTTTGCTTTGCTTCCTGAAATTTGTCCATGCCTTATCCCAATCAGTTGAGAATTTATCACCTGAGGTATGTCCAAGAATAATTGTTTTATGAGTATTTGGATAGGAGAAGCAATATAACAGCAATGTAAATTCAGGAGTAGCTAAATCATAAGAAAGTGATCTTATACCAACATAGCATAGTCAAATCATTGTTCATACTTGCATAGTGACTTAGCCCTAACATCAATTGAATTACAGATGTAGCTAATATGCAATAATGACTGCACTCCGCTGCCTGGGATATCAGTTAACAACATATAAAAGTTTTATTATTTTAATTTCCAAGCTCGCAAAAATATAAAGTTCTTAAATATACATGGCTCCAGTAGATAAATCAAGTTAGTGTTATGTGTATTTCCATGTGTATGCTAGTGCACTAATGCGAACACCTGACAGCAGTGGGAAGAAATGATAGGGAGAAGGACAATTTATGGTATGACAACAGTGTTAAACAAGGGCAGGCAGCAGGGCACTAGCAAAAGCCTGTTTCTAGTATAAAGTCTGCCTCCCAATATAGTAGAGATGAGAATCACTTTCTTGATCCTGAAGTGATCATGTGCATATCCAAGCACAAGTCTAATCTAAAGGAACAACTATTCTTTAAATGTGCTCTCCAGGTCAGCCAAGTTAGCCACTGTTGCTTAAATCAGTAGAAAAATTACAAGACATGGGCATGCCTAATCATGATAATGATCACAGGCAAATTGGATATATACAATAGGACTCACTTTTCAAAAACTTTGAATTCTAGATAAAGTAATGTAATCACTAACCAGGAATATTCAAGTTCCTAAGAGCTCAGATGAGTACTAATTCTATTCCCATTCCCATTCCCGATTCCTCCACCTAATCTTGGATGTCAAAAAATAAAGTAGAATTTATGAGTAATTAGGACTACTGTTCCTAAAAATCTTTAATGAAAATGGCTTAGTGACAGTAACACCAACACAGATAACAGGACCAATAGTAGAACTCCAACATTAGCACCTGCAGCAAAACAAAAATCTTTTCCTTTTTCTTCTTTCCCAGAATAACTATATTGGCATTGTACCCCAAAACAAACCAAAACTTCAAACAAGACGGGCAAATTAAGAAAACCCAATGATATAGTAAAATACCCTTTTGACATTTAAGTGAAATTGTTGCTGAGTTGATACTTTGGAGCCCATATATAAAGCTGATGACATACCCCTGTTATCACCGTTTTCTCGAGGTTGCTGAGAGCCTTTTTTGGAGCAGAAAATTTTGAAAGAAGAACAAGCATAAGGAGATGTGGATTTCTGTGATGTTCTCCAAAAGCAGTAAGATGTTAAGCTCCCCATTCCAGCTTGAATATCCATTGGCATCTGAAACCGAAGATTCCAATTGCAACTACTGACGCCACAGCTCCAATGATTTTTCTCTCTCTCTCTCCTTCACCAAAAAAAATTTCATTTTTTGGATACTTTCTTATCCGCTGCGAAAAACTGACAACCTCAAATTCTGCCCCGATATCGTATACTGACACGTGGTAGCATAACTAATTTTCTTTTATTTTTTCGATTTTCAGTATAAATATATTACTTCCTTTGGCATTTTTCTTTCATTTGGCCAAAAAATTCCGTCCTTATTACTATGCCCTTTTAGTTCTTCTCTAAATATAGATATAATTAACTTATTTTTTTAATTAACTTTTAATTTAATTAATTTTTTATACTTTAATTTTTATAATTATCTTTTAATTAAAATGTAAGTCATTATTTTTTTATCATGTCACTGTAATGTAACATATTATTATATTATAATAAATGATAATGTAACATTTAACATAATCATGTGATGATTTTCATCTTTTATGTTATTGTTATATTAATGTTATACGAATATAAAAAAATAAATGAAATTTTGATTATTAATAATTAATTATAAAAATTTATTTGATTAAAAATAAAAATTTGATTAAAAATAATAAAAAATAAAATTTTATTTAAATTTATTTGAATAGTTAGATGAATTCTTTTTAATATTATATCTTATATTTTTAAGATGTACTATTTTTGATATCTTTATTGTTCTTAATGCTCAAAAAATATAAATAACAACATAATTTCGTTAAAAAAGAATACCGTTTTTTTATTTGATAAAAAAATTTAAACTTATTTTTTCAATAAAAAATCATATATTAATCACTTAATTAAATAATGTAGTACTCAAAGAATTCCATTTTGGGGACACAAAATAAAGTAACACAACATTATCTAAGAAAATGTCATTTAGTTAATCCTATTCACCTTTGTTCTTTTCTAGGTGAAAGTGATAGTATAAGTTAGAATGTACGTAAGTTTTGTGATGTACGAACAAAGTTTCTTATTTAAGCATTAATTATCTGATACTATAAAGTTATTTTATATTTTAAAATAGCAAAAAAAATTTCAGAAAGAAAGATTATAATCATTACCTACCTTGATGTTGAGTCGATAATGTCCAGTCAATCAAAGACACATGGCATTATCGAGACGATGGAGACTCAATCTGGTCCCACGTGAATGACAAAATCTCTATCGTCACCTCTTGTTGCCCAATTCCAATGGCACCAAAAATAATCAACCGGTCGAAATTTAATTTTTTCTTCTCATTGCCTTGGCGCTGGGGCAAGCAGGCTCAGCCCTGACCTCTCTGTCCGGTCCCCATTCTATTTAGTTCGCCCAATGGTCGGCAGATTGGCCTAACACAACACATGGGACTGACTTTTCTTTTTCACTCCCACGAGTGGAAGATCATGCTTCCACGTGTCATCAGATCCCTTTACTGTAAAAAGCCGTGGATTAGCCCGGTAAGGCATAAAGAATAATTTAGGCAACGTTTGATATCAAAAAAATAAGAATATATTTTTTATATTTAATTAAATTATATTATAATATTTATTTTATAATAAAATATTATAATATAAAATTTTAATATAATCATATTATAATTAAGAATGTAATGTGATTGTAGTTTAAAATTAATATAATTATATTATACTGTATTTTATAATGTTTTTAAAGATATTTTTAATTTTTAATTTTATTATTTTTTGAAAAATATTTTTAATATTATAATTAAATAAAAAATATTAAAAATAATATATATAATATAAAAATTAAAATAAAATATAAAAAATTAAAATTTATATAATATAAGTAAAAAATTAAAATAAAATATATAACATAAAAAATTATATTAAAAAATTAAAATAAAAGATATAAGATTATAATAAAAATAAAATATATGATATTAAAAAATA